CCCTCCCCCGGGGCCCGCCCGCAAGGACCTGAAACGTGTCTTTTCCCCCCTCCTGGAAAATGGTGGCCTGGGAGCCACGGGGGTTTATCCAGCCAGGGGACGTGAAGGAAAGCGGAGCATCGCTCCATCCCACCGGCCAGGCTGCAGCGTTAAGTAAATTAGCTGTAAGAAAATACACGGGGTCAAATGTGAAGGCGTGTAAAAGCACAGGGTTGGCGATAGCAGCCAGCTCACTTAGGAAGACTTAGGAAAACCCTCATGTTTGCGGGGGGGGCAGGTCTGTGCCCGTTTTGCCCACAGGGGAGGGGGCTGTCACGAGCCCAGGCCAGCAGGGAACACACAGTTCTGTCCTTGTGTCGGGCAGAATGTCACTGTGCATCCTGACGGAGCTGTTGACATTGCACTTCAGCCGAACCGTCAGCCACAGCCTTTTCATGTGGGATGTGGTCCCTAGTGCCAGTACGCAAGTACTGCTGACGTCCCAGGAAAACGTTTACAGGATGCTCTCAGCATTGCACTGTGGCTGGGTCTGAGGGAAATACGCACCAATTCTGCTCAGCGCTGAGACAGGTGAAACCAGCTTGAAGTTGCTAGACACAGCCTCAGTGTAGTGTTGTGAAAAGTCAGGTAACTCATTGGCACAAGCAACAGAAATGTGGAATCAAACCTAAACCAGGGATATACGTTTGGCTGCTTCAAATCAAGGTATGGAGGAATGTGTCCAGGGTCTGCTGAGGAATCTGTCTTTAGGAGAGTCATGAACTGCAAGATCAGCCACAACCAGAACAAGCACCAGATGAAGACTTGTTAATCCCTTCTGGACTAATGGCAATATGGTTTTATATATTTTTGTAAGTAAATATAACTGTATTGAAGTTATCAGGCATCGCCACATTATATTCCTCAGTGAAATAAATAACCTATAAATAACCTCAGGTTTAGGGAGAAAGATGCAGCAATCAATATTTAACAGTACCATGCCTCAAGCTATCTTTACAGTAAACAGAAATTTAAAATATTAAAACAAAAAATCATCATGCACAGGGTACAGAAATACCGTGTACAGCACTACCTGTTCATGCAACAGCTCTGTGTGCACTGCCACACTTTCAGAAATCAGTCTCCTTCTATTCAACAACTGGGAATCCACAGAGAAAAAGGCAGCACCCACCACAAAAGAGATCACACTCTTCACACACCTACACACTAAAAAAAAAATTTCTTCAGCTCAGATGGAAACCCATGCTACAACTCCAGGGTGTTCATGCACATTTTTTCAAATAGTAAATCAGTGAGCAAGTCTTTTAAGCCTCTAAGTCAATCAAATGAAAATCATCTACTTTTCTATTAAAGTAACCAAAAGCAGCAGTGCACCTTCTACCTCCACCAAATTTCATATTGCATTTGCTTTCTTAGAGAAAGCTAAGATTTTTCCAAAAATTGTAATATTTCACTCATATTTCACTCAAGCTGGACCACTCCTTTTTTTAATAAAGCAATCAAGATTTAGTTAATTAAATATGTATTTGAATAGCAACAATTAACAAATAATCTAAATAGACAAGACTAATCAGGCCCACTCACTAAAAAACAGGAACTGCCAGCAACAAAAGAATATAAACAGACTCTTATCTATACAATTGTCAGCAACTGAACAGGCCAGCAGTAAAACCAATAAGTTGAACCTAAAAAGCAGGTTGAATCAGGATAATGAGTCATCTTAAAATGCTAGTTTCGACACCTGTGAATAAAACTATTTTACCAGCACTCCTATGATACAATGCAGCTTATGTAAAGGCTATTCTTTTACACTAGGTTACCAGCAGAGAGCTGTGAGTATTGAACTAACCATTTGAAGCTTTGTAAAACCTGGTCTAGTGCCAGATGTCCTGGCTCATAGCAGGGAGATTGGAACTTGATGATCTTTGAGGTCCCTTCCAACCTTAACCATCCTGTGACTCTATGATTGTATGATTCTCTCCATATATTGTACTGCAGTATCAATTTCTGTAGTCATTTTACACTTACATATGAGGAACCAGCCTTCTGCACAATAATTTCTAACTGGAAAGTTCTCTCACAAGACTGGACTGTCTCAGACAACTGTCTGGTGCAGGAACATGTGCCAGGCTACAGTATGTTCCAAAATAATGATGCTGTACTATGAGACAGGTTTCTCTCCTTTCCTGTGCCAAAGCAAAAGTGCTAGTTTTGTCAGTGAGAAGGCTGCAGGTCCAAACTAAGAAGACATATGTCACCACTCAATTAAAAAAAAAACAAAATAAAAAGAAAGTGCAATTTGTTATAAAATCCTGTGTATCCAGAACTGAAAGATAATTCTGGAGATTGAAAAAAAATGCTACAGCTTTATGTGAGAAAGCTCTTTGCTACCCCATGCTATCTATACAGGCTATGGGCTCAGCTGCTTGATCCAAGAAACTGTGTGACTTAACACCCATGAAATTTCACAGAGTTGCATCATAGCTGAGGCTGGTAGCAACCTTGGAAGATCCTCTAGTCCAGTCTCCTGCTCTGAGCACGATCATGTCCAGTTGGGTTTTGAGTATCCCCAGGGCTGGAGGCTTCACAACCTGTCTGGACAACCTGTTTGAATCTCAGACCACCCTCACAGTGAGAAAGGTTGTGGTTTTTTTTTTCTTATGTTAAACACAACTCCCTGTATTTCAGTTTGTGTCTATTGCCTCTCATCTGGGTAACACTGAGAAGAGTCTGGCTTCATCTTCTTTCCCCCTGCTATCAGGCTTTTAGATACATCAATAAGATCCTCTCCCTTGAGCCTCCTCTTCTCAAGGTTAAACAGTCCCAGCTCTCTCAGCCTGTCCTCCCACTTCTTTAATCTGTGGTTGCACAAATGCCTCTTCCCTGGCTTGCTGCTTGGAAAAAGTACTTATTTCCCTCAACCCTCAAAACACCATTACTCAGGGATTTTGCTCCTAATGTGTTTTTCTTCCCTCTCACTGTTGAGGATTGATCCAGGCCAGCAGGTAAGCACCCACACAGCTGCAAACTCACTCCCCCTGCCTCCTTCCCCAGCAGGACAGGGGAAAGAATAGGAGAAAACTTTTGGCTAGAGATAAAGATGGCTTAATAAGTGAAGAAAAAAAAAAAAAACAACAACCAGAGAATTAATAAAATGTACTGAGGATTAAAGAAATAAAAAGTGATGCTAAGGCAATTACTCACCAAGGCCCACAAGCAGATTAATGCCCGGTTGGTCTCTGGCAGCCAGCTTTGAACCCAACCCCAACCTCACCCTTTTCCTCTACCCAGTTTTATTGTTGAGCATGATGTCATATGGCATGGAGTGTCCCTCTGGTCAGCTGGAGCCAGCTGCCTCAGCTGTGTCCCCTCCCAGCTTTTTTAACACCCCCAGCCTATTTGCTGGGATGGGAGTGTGGGCAGAGTGGGAAAGAGAGAGACAGCCTTGACCATGTGTGAGCACTGCTCAGCAGTTACCAAAACACTGGTGTGTTTTCAAAACTGCTTTAGCCACAAACCCAAAATACACAGCACAGTCTTGCTGCTATGAAGAAAGTTAACTTAATCCTGGGCCAGATCCAGTACACCTAAAAAAAGTATCCTTGGAACAAAAGATTTTCCCCATTGAAATGTGGCAGTCATGGTTGCAGCAACCTGTCTCAAACTATACCACATCAGATCTATTACCTGCATCTCCAACTTAGTGTCGAGAGAAGAGAAGAGAAGAGAAGAGAAGAGAAGAGAAGAGAAGAGAAGAGAAGAGAAGAGAAGAGAAGAGAAGAGAAGAGAAGAGAAGAGAAGAGAGGAGAAGAGCAGCACATTAAAACATGAAACAAATGGAGGAAAAAAAAATCAGAAGCTGACAACAGTATACAACTAAAGAGTTAAATAATTTAAGGACTTAGAAGAAAATAAAAGCAAAAATATTTCCAAGTAAGAATGTTAAGTTAATAAGAGAGAACAACACTGAAAATATTAGGACAGCTTTACTACTGCATGTAAAAAACAACTGTTTTAAAGGAATGTGGAATAGCAGAAATATTTCTATTGCATATTTGGAAAATATAAACAGTGCATTCACATTATGTAACAGTGAAATACTTTCCATTAAATCAATAAGATTAAAAGATAGTAAACAGCAGAAACTTCATTTAAATACCCCTTTTTAAATGGCAGGTCAAAGATTTGTTTAAAAAAATTGAAGATGTGATAGGCAGCAATGTTAACCATTACATTTGCTTCTTAACAACTTCTGAAATGCTGAGGAAATTTCATAGAACTAGAAGAAATTTGATATAAGGACAATCTTTAAAGGGTAAATATGATGACTTACTTAATTACAGGCTTTCCAGGCTAACAGCAAGCATGGGCAAATAGATGGGAAAGGCAGGTTCAAGTCTTAACTACTGAAAAAAGTGAAAGGGAGAAGTGGAATAACCAAATGGAAGGCTGCCATGGAGGCTGTGCAGCCTTGCACTGCCGCCCCCTCCACACACACAGACACGAGCTGACAGAACACATTCTTTGAAAACCTGTTCTGATGTCACTTTAGGAGATCAGGTATTTTTTGTCAGGTCAGTACTGATATATACCTGAACTCCTCAAAGTATTGATGTGACCAGAAACCTACCAACATTTCAATGAAATAAAATGAATGGTACAAAATCAACACAATCCACAAATTAGGTAATACGTGTCCAAGTAAGTATAAAGGGCCTTATTTCTGGTTCTATTTAACAATTCCTATTGATGAAACAAGAAAGAGATTGCAAATTACCTAAGATGAGGAAAACTAAAAATAATGGCAAAAGGACACATCTCTGATGCTAAATCTCTGGACTGTTTGACTTGTTGGATACAATCCAAAATATTTCAAACCAAAGGTAAATGTGAATAGGAACAAATTATATCTGATGTTTCTATAAAGCAGAAAAAAATATGAAAAAGAGCTTGAATATAGGTTTTAACAAATATAAATTATACTTTGGCTGAAAATGTTTGTGGAATATTGTAATTTCAGTGATTAATATGAACTTTTTGATCCCTGTCAAGCAAATTTTATTTTACCAAGGTGAAGTTAAGGGGTGGTTTCATCATTGTTGACTGGTCACATGACCAAAAAAAAAAAAAAAAAAAGCCAAATTTAATGCGTATATTTAATTTTGCAACACTGAAGGAACTTGGACAAAAAAAAACCC